TACTTTTGTGGAAGTTGGAGATCGATAGATTCACTCGAAAAGATATTTATGAAATGAATATTCCTTTGATAAAAGCCCTAAAAAATGTTCTACTAATTCCTCTCACTAAACTCTTAAATTTGAGTATCAGAAATAGAGTCGTCCCAGTAGCCTTCAAAAATGCAAAGCCGATACCTATCTATAAAAAGGGAGAAAAAAGCAATCTAAATAACTACCGCCCAATATCGTTGTTACCGGTGCTGTCGAAGGTGTATGAATACCTTATGAAAGAACAACTATATGAATATTTTGAAGAAAAGTTTTTTTGCGACTTGCCAATTTGTATGGAGCCAAACGTATATTTGCACTGCAGAGAAGGGCTGTGCGTATTGTGGCGGGGCTCGGATATAGAGATGATGTAAGGAAAAAGTTTATTCAGATAAAAATTTTGACGATACCAAGCCGGTATATCTATGAGTGTGTTCTTTACTGTAGGGAAAACATTGAATATTATAATAACAATAGCTCCTCTTATCATGATTACTTAACTAGGCGCGGGGATAATATAAGGGTCGATTTTCACAGATTGGAACGATCCCGTGTATCAATCAATTATTATTGTCCAGTATTTTACAACAAACTGCCAAATCATGTTAAGAGTCTCAAAAATCTTTTGATGCCTACGTGAAACAGCACCTCATGGAGTGGGCCTATTACAGTATGGAGGAATTCCTGGACACAGAAATATATTAAATGTAATGTACTTTATGTGTTTCATGTATTTTATTTAGTATATGCTTTTCTTATTTTGTATATATTGAGTGTTATGACCGAGGGGTAGGTCACTCCCCAATTAGGTGTACAAATGTCGAAATGTAATTGGAAAAATACATTTAATTACCTCAATTACCTTGCAATTACGTTCAATTACGTTTAATTACACTTAATTACAAATAATTACACTCGATTACAAATAATTACACTCAATTACATTCAATTACAATTCAATTACCTTCAATTACGTTCAAATGCCGCTCAAATACATTTTATCAATTACTTTCAATTACATTCAATTATATTCAATTACATTCAATTATATTCAATTACGTTTAATTACGTTCAATTACATCCAATTACATTTAATTACATTCAAATACTTCCAATTACAATCAATTACTGTCAATTAGATATAAATACATGCCCTCTCCATCATCCATCTTTATTTTCAAAAAAAGTTAATTACATTTAATTATATTCAATTACATTCAATTACACTCAATTACATCAATTACATTCAATTACAAAAAAATACATGTAATTGAATGTATTTGTAATTAGGTGTACAAATTCTATTAAGTGACCTACCCCTCGGTTATGACTGTTATGTTAGTATATTTTTTTTTATCTATTGTACTATTGACATGTAAAAACACTATATTTTGTGTAAATTATGAATAAATTTAATTTGATTTGAAAAGAACTGTGAAACTCTGAGTAGCTTTAAAGAATCATATACATATAGGTATATGTAAAAGAAAAAATTAAAATTTGATTTCCATGTATGTAAGTAGGTACTAAGCTCATTCAAGTTAGTAGGTATATTTTTATTATGTTGGAAGTAGCCTCGGTACGAGCTATCAACAGTCGAATAAATAGTAGATACCGAAGTAGATACCTCGAGGGGCTATTCTTTAAGGGAAAATGTGACAAGATTTCGGATTTAGAGTGAATTTGAGAGGTTTCGGGTTATTTCAAATGATTTCGGATGATTTCATAAGATTTCGGGTAATTTCGCAAATATTTTAATTTGATTTTAGACTGTTACTTATCTTATATTTGATGTGTATTAGTATAAACTGAAAAACGGTCGCGTTAACCGATTTATGGATTTTGGGCCTATTACGAGGTATTTTTGGATCTGCGGAAAAAGTTCTGAGAGATTTCGGAGGGATTTCGACGGATTTACAATAGAATAGAATATAGAATAGAATATTTATTGCGTAATTTGTACAGTATACAGGGTGTCCACTTAGTGCGATAACGGACGATATCTCGTTACAGGGTTATGCAAGAAAAAAAAAATTAAATTACAAAGTTATTTGATACTTTAATATGCATTAGTTTTAAATATTTTTGAAAATACAGGGTGCTCTGTTTGTAGGGTATGTAACAGAACTTTGTTTTTTTAAATGGAACAACCTCTATGTGATTGCATTTTTGGATTCTACATGAAATTCTGAGCAGATTTCATCTCATGAGCCCTATACCTAAGTTCAACTGTTTTGGAAATATTGACAGTTGAAAATTGACTTTTCGTAACTTTGACAGGGTGTAAAACCTAAGCGGTTAATTTTAGACGAAACCCGATTTTACATTTCTGTCTTAGATTTTTATAAACTAATCATTTGACATCAACATTGAATTTAATCCATGATTAAAAAAACCAGTTAAATTTAATCTCCAGTTAAATTCAAAGTTGCTGTCAAATGATAGTTTATGAAAATCTAAGACAGGAATGTTAAATCGTTTTTCCTCTAAAATTAACCGTTCAGGTTTTACAGCCTGTCAAAGTTGCAACAAGTTAATTTTCAACTGTCAATAACAGTTGAACTTAGGTATAGGGTATATTTCATAAAATCTGCTCAGAGTTTTACGTAGAATCCAAATATGCAATCACATACAGGGTGTTCCATTAAAAATAACAAAGTTCCGTCGCATACCCTATAAACGGAGCACCCTGTATATTCAAAAATATTTTTAACTAATGCATGTTGGAGTATCGAACAACTTTGTAATTCAATTTTTGTTTGTAAGAAGATATCGTTCGATATCGCACTAAGTGGACACCCTGTACTTATATAAAATAAATAAAATACAAAAACAGTACACAAAAGGCTCGACAAAAGGCAACATTCGCTGAGGCATTCTTCCAATATGCCCTGTCCCCAGTAATTGACTTTTATAAACCTTTTCAAAAATCACTAATGAATTATTAATTAACAAATCATAGATATTTGAGTTAAGTAATTCTACAGACAGAAATGCAAAACAACTTCTAAATTTGGATGTTCGATGTAGCGATATATTACTGTATTTCTAAGGTCCCTATTATGCAAGTAATTTCTAGGCCCAAAATGCAAAGAGACACGCGACTCAAACCTCAAGTGTTCATACTGCATGTAGATTGGGGTGATATGATCAAATTTACCATTACAAGAGACAAATCGTAGACAAGAATTTTGTGCTAAGTAACTGAATTTAATTTCTCAGTTCTTTTGTCAAGAAGCTGAAGTAAACAACACTACAGTAATCCAAGTGAGGGTAAATTAATGATCAATCAGCATCATTTTTGTACTACATGGTAGTAAATAATTAAATGCGTATTTTATATACAGCATGTCCCATAAGTCACGGTCCAAAATGAAAGGGGTGATTCTTTGGATAATTTTATGACTAAAACGAGGACTAAAACTTCAAATAAACATAGGTCTGCAAACGCTTCGTTACCGATCTACAGGGTGATGAAATTTTAATGTATTCATATTGAAAATGAGTAAGAATATGGCGGCAAGGGCGTAGCTTACTTCTAGATTTCTACTGAAAATGATCAAGAATATGGCGGCGGGACCTCTATTGTCGCCACTGTAGGTAGAAAAGGTATATTGAGTCACTGTAGTTTTATCTAACTAATTACAAAGATTTGTTTTTTAATTTTTTTCTCGATAAGGGATAATTGGAAAAAACTACAAGAGAACAAAAAGTTTCTAAATAAGGTAGAAAAATAATTTAGTTCTTTAGGATCTACCAGCGGCGCACCACAAAAAAGTTCAGGGGCAGAAAAGGCAAATGACCCCTGAAAAAACATCACCCTGTGAATTCTGGCAAACGTTTGAAATGTACAATCATGTAGCTCCTATTGTGTCACCTATATTCCAAATTTCAGCTAAATCCCTCAAAAATTGCAAGAGCTATAAAGAAAAAACCAAAAAAATATTGATATTTTAACACCCTGTAGATCGGTAACGAAGTGGTTGCGGACATATGTTTATTAAAAATTTTAGTCATAAAATAAACCAAAGAATCACCTCGTTCAGTTTGGACTGTGACTTATGGGACACTCTGTATATTTGAATATACTTATCTTATAAGTATATTCAAAGGTGTATTAGTATAAACTAAAAAACGGTCGCGTTGACCAATTTATGAATTTTGGGCCTATTGCGAGGGATTTTTGGGTCTGCAGAAAGATTTCTGAGAGATTTCGGAGGGATTTCGGCGAATTTCGGAGTGATTTCGTGGATTTCGGAGATACCTATATCATTTAGTGATAAACTACCAAGGCTTACGTAAGTACTTCCTTCTAGGAAGCTATAATTATGTTATGTACAACGTTTAGGAATATTGTATTGTATTTTAGCTAGCCAACTGCTATTAATAAAGAATAAAGATATTAACTCGGATATTAGTATCATTAAATATTATACAACTGGAGCAGTCCAGGTAGCAGTGTAAGCTTGTATATGGAATAGGCACCAAAAATCTAACTCGCACATTCTTTTGGTAAATGAAGGGATAAACCACCTTGAAATTATAGTGTAAAAGCATGTGGAATTCCAGTGGGATTTGAGGAATTCCATTGGATTCCAGTAGAATTCCATGGGATTCCAGTAGGATTGCATTAGATTTCAGTAGGATTCCGTGGGATTCCAGTATGATTTCGTGGGATTCTGGCATATACATTTTTCAAGGTTGATTAACCCTCAGTAAATGAAGTACATAATTACAACAGCAGCATTTAATGAATAATACAAAAAATGTCAGAAGTTGGACTTTGTTATCAAGACGCTTGGAAAAGCACTTCATTGGGGTACAGGGCGTTAATTGTAGTAGATAGCTCAGAAAAAGCACAAATTTGGCACTGAAAAACTTCTTTTAAATGTTATATTCACCGGACAGTGCTATTATGCACTGGTTAGAGATTTATTGTTACTCATATATTATTGTTTCAAAAAAAAACTTACTTTTCTGTAGCTCTGGAACTAATTTGTAAACAATATCTTGCATTGTCCTATCAAATCTTATATATTGAAGTGGATGTGACTGATGTATAACTATTTTGCATGTTGGACAAGTATTGTTTTCTTCTAAATGCTTGACAAGGCAACTTTTGCAAACTGAAAGTGAATTTAATAATTCTGGTACTTTAAACACAAAAACTGAAAATCAACTAATTACTTACATGTGTGCAAACACTCAGTTACAGTGGTAGCATCTATTAAATAACCTCTACAAATTTTGCATGTTATATGATTGTTTAATGTTTTTAGTTTAATTTTTTTTTCCATTATCTTATTTTTGATGAATTCATAATTGAAAAAATAGAGGAGAAATTTGGTTTGAGAGAAAAGAAAAAGACATAACCTTATTTTTTGTTTCGTCAACATCAACATTAGCTTTGTTCGCCAATCGCATTCCGAACTAATTTGGAACTAATTCAGGATGTCGTAGAGCGCATGCCTAATAATTAGGAACCAGTTCAGGATTTATATTACCGCGAACAATTTGGAAACAGGAAAGGAATACTTGGAACTCATTTAATAAGAATTGTGAATATAGCGACATAAAAGTGCGTGTCTTTGGAATTAAGTTATTTTTCAAATCTCGAGAATCGTTAGAACTACTTCAGAATCGATCCGGAACCGATTTCAGTTGAACCGAAACCGATTTTAGTGGAATCGCAAACGAAAACCTGTATCCAAAAATAGTAATCCAATCCAACCAAGGTTCTTGTCTGGTGATGGGTAACTTGATGACGCATCTGGGGTGCCTTATGCATATTTGCATTATGTTGAGGCACCCCAGATGAATTCATAGAAGTTATCAGGCAACCCAAGGTTCCTAAAATTAATAGGTTGTCTACTGTAATGGGTAACTTGATGACGCATCTGGGGTGCCTTATGGAGATTTGCATTATATTAAGGCACCCCAGATAACGTCATAAAGTTATCCAGGCAACCCAAGGATAATACATACTACTAACTACAGGATAGCTTATCCTCATAAGGCCTGTGTAGTCCAAATCTCAAGCCCCCCACCATACCAAAGCACCAGTAATGACGTAGCAGCATGTCGTTTCTCGCCATTAATTAACATTCTAGAACAACTCTTTTTTAGATCTCGTTTGCATCTTCCTCTTTATGCCTATTATGTTGATCAAAATTAAATAGGTAATATTTTTCATCATAAATATAAATTCTAAATTACGACGGCTGGCACAAACAGCTAACGCCTAAGTTAATGACGTCGGCAATGGTGCTACACCAATATGGCTGCGATTAAAAAAAACGAGGTCGATAAGCAATAATTCTAGTAGTGTGTATTATCCTTGGTTGAATACAGCATGCTGGTTAAAATAAACGACGATTTCCAGTTCCAGTTAATTAATCGTACAGCAGAAAGTATAATGCCTCATTCTCACTTGCGCGTAATTCGCTCTTTTTTGACGCTTCGACAATTTGACGTTTGATACACGCATCAAATCAAATCAAATCAAAATATGCTTTATTGTCGTGAAAAAATAAATCCATTGACAAAGCCAGTAATTCCTAAACCTAAAGTTTTAAAATAAAAATAGCATAACATTAAACGAGGTACATAGATGTACAGATAAAATCAAAAAACAACAAAACTACCATCCAAACATCTTCGAAGGGACAACAAAATATGAACATCGATTGGCATGATAGGATTAAAAGTTAAAGAATTTAAAATAAAAAATAAAAAAACAAACAAAACTTAAAATAAATAGAAATAAATAACTATAAGACTCAAGGAACAATAATTAAGTTTGTGTCTTTTTGGCAGACAGTAAAATTTTTAATTAATCATGATCATAGAGATATTTATTTATAGAGTAGTAAGCCCTATCAGTCCACCAATCCCTTACTTTTCTTCTAAATTTTTTAAAATTATCAACAGATTTAAATTCTGGTGGTAGATGGTTATAGATTTTTACACTTCTATAAATAACTGAGTTTTGTGTAAGGCTGGAACTAGGAATAGGAAGAGGAATATCATTGTGATTTCTGGTTTGATAAAAATGAGTATGAATGACATCTTTATATTTATTAAAAATTAAGCTCACAGTTTCCAATATGAACAATCCAGACAATGTCAAAATCCTCTCTTTTTTGAACAGGGGCTTATACAGTGGTCTCTAAATCCGGCCCCACATAGATATCTCACACACCGCTTTTGCATTATAAAAACGGATTCAAATAAATTTTGGCAACAATTTCCCCAGAAAGCTATACCATAGCGCAAATGCGATTCGATTAAGGCGTAATACGTTGTTTTAGCAATTTGTATACCCAATTCCCAGAAGGTCAGTCTAACTGCGTAACTGCCCTTAAAACTTGAGACCTTAGTTTAATCAATATCGAAACACAGAAAGTTAGAGTGGCACCATAATCTAACTTTTTCCAAATTGTTAGTAACCACAGTGGCGTAGCCAGCCTTGCGGGGCGGAGGGGGCAAACATATAAAGGGCGTATAATTCTTTGGGGGGGGGGGGGATGGAGGAAAACAAATAAATGTTTGTAATTGTATGCTTTTGTAATATTTGCTAATTGGGGGAAGATATCAAAGACGAAACGCCCGCAGAGGGCGCCGCCCGCCGGAGGCGATAAATTTCCTCGAGTGCCTCGCTTAAAAAAGTTTATTGAAGCCTTCAAAAACATTTTTTACCTTTTTCGGGTACCAGGCCGAAAAACATTTATGTATTTTAAGCGTTACAAGAAATAATAAATAATGTGTGGACCTGCCGTTAACTTCAAAAACTCCTGCCGAACGTCTTCGGGGAGGCCTTGAAAACTAGAACAAATCCGGAGAAATCCGGACGGATGACAGCCCCACCCCCCCAATAAACAAATACCACATCAATCATCAAAACAGAAACTGTCACCTTTCCTTTGAATGAACTGAACCATTTGCCGACAATGCCGACTTACGATAAAGAATAAAGAGTGAAGAGGTCAATAATAGTTATTTATGTATCAAGGGTACTAAGTAGATGTAATCATCTGTAGATGATTACATGATGTAAGACTGTCGCCCTCAGGGCGTAATCGCCCCGAGGGCGACAGTCTTACAAAGCCGAGGGCCTCTGGCCCGAGGGTTCGTAAGTCGCCCGAGGGTACCCACTAAGCAATGTAATATCGCTTTAATATTTCAGTAATGTTTCTAGATAATATTGTAATATTTCATTTTTTATTGCTGCTATATAAATGCAAGGTTGCTGCAATTACTGAAACGGACTTATTCTAATATTCACAAATGCAATGTTTACAGAATAAACTTTTCTGCAATATCGCCTCAAACTTGTATTTTCATAAAAAATAAATTACCTTTGTAATATTAAAAATGCTAGCTTACAGAAACCTGCATTCAACGTTGTTTATAAACTTAGATAAATATTACAGTTGCAATATTTTTATTGGTACTTTACAGAAATTTACATAATGAAATATTGTATATATGATAGATATTTAATATATCGCAAGCATTTGCATTAATGCAAGATCCTTTATTTTCAAATTCCCTTTTCTGCCAGTCCAACTACAGACCGGGCGCACTGGTAAGTTAATAAACTTCCAATTTCCAATTGATCTTATCACACATGCCTCGATTCCTCTAACAAAGGTATTGTAAAAAAGCCACCTAAAATTAAAAATTAAACAGTATTAAAATATCACAAAAAAATAAAATGTTAAAATCTTACCACATTGGCTTTATTTTGTTCGTCTCCCAACGAGGGGGATTTCATTGTGGTAATATAGTGTACACAATAGTGGTAATTAGTGGAAATTTTATGGGAAATGAGTGGTAATGACTGGAAATTAGGGGAAATATAGTGGTATTGAGTGGAAATATATGGTAATTAGTGGAAATATAGTGGTAATTTGGGGAAATTTTTGGTAATTTAAGGCAATTTAAGGAAATTTTTGGGGTAATTTAAGGAAATTTTGTGGTAATAACTCGAAGTTCTGTAGTGATAAAATTATGATATGCCTTTGAATTTGCTTTAATTTAGGAGTAACAGAGCTTCAACTAAACTATTCAACTAAGCTTTAAGTAAAATATTCTTCTGAGTCCCTATTGGTCAGTTAGAAACATCAACTTTTATTTTCTAAGGAATGTTTCATTTGAGGTTTCATTACATGAGAAGTGGCAACCTTGCAATAGTTCAACACTTGGTTCGACATCATCTATGAGCATCGTTTTTACTACTCATTTTGAAACTTTCAAGGCCTCGTTTCATTTAAGGTCCAGTTTTGTGTTTCAGTGTTTCTAAATCTGAAAGAAAAAGTAGAGAGAATGCATTCTTGTTATATTAGGCCTCCATCACACATTCGGCAAATAGCTACAAATATTTGGCTGTTTATGTGTTCTCGTCTCTCTGTTTCTCTAGTTTCAATTTTCTAGATTTTCACCTATCCTAGATGGATGCCCAATACCGAGCCAAATACGCAAATAGTCGTGAAGAGCTTTACAGACTTTTGAGGTGTATGTATTAATTTTGACTGCAAAGGCGCGTCAAATTTCGTATTTTTTCATATTTTCGTCTTCTAGATGGAATCCGAAATAAAGTCCAAATGTTCTGAAGTCGCTGTTGAACTTGATTCCGAACTCGGTTCCAATCGTTTACGTTTTTTGGTGGATTTACATTTCCAAGGATCTTCTCTTTGAGATTTGGCGAGCGGAGCGAGCAATCGGAGACCAAAGAATAATTTAAATTTCAAGATCCCATAACTTGGAGTTTGTACTCGTGTTCTTACTAACAACGTTGAAAGTTATTGGTCGTTTTTCAAGCAATAATAGGTACTTGAGGAGGTTAGGAGTAATGCAGTCTCCCTTTATTGTGGATTATATCAACCAATTTATTTGGTCTCAAATTGGTAGAGAATTTTCGTAGTTGATTTTTGAAAGGTGTTCAATTTTGATTGAAATTTTCTGATGGAAAATATGCATTTTGCGCATTAATAGCTTAAACGTTTCTGTTTGATGGAATCTTTACCAAAAAAAAAAATATATATATATACAGGGTGTCCCACGAGGTTTGTCCCAAATGATAACTCCGGAACGCATCATCATATGTTCCATTGTGTAATTTTTTATCATTTTCTTTAACAAAGCCTTAACAAATATGGCATTGCCGATTTTTTAATCTAATTTTCTAACGAAAAAGGCCATAATATACCATAAGTTACATTTAAGATTCGAAAGATGACGTCACTTGATCGAAATCGAAATTGAAGCGAAACTGGTGAAATTGGACGAAAATGGTAGAAGCGGCGCAAAAAGTTACCCAGATCCTCAAAATTTCAATTATATTGGATGACGCGTTCCGAAGTTATTACCTGGCAGAAACGTTGTGGGACACCCTGTATAAAAGCCGTTTTTATTTGGAC